TGTGATATGTGGTAAATTATAGACCATTGGATTTGAAGTTTTGAATTATTTTTTAAATTATAATTTTTTTTCATATTTTTGGCAAATTCTCCCTAACTTATTTCCTGTGTTTGTAAAAAAAAAAACTTATTTTTGTAAACTCTTCGTATTATTCTAACTTTTAATTTTCATTAGAGAAATACCGCGGTACTCCCAAGACCAGCGTTTATTCCGAGATTGATAGAGAGAAAACTATTAAATTACAGCCATATGATAAAATAATTATTTTGTTTAATTGAGGATTAGTAAATGAGATAGAATAATGAGTTAATGAGTGACACCAAGTATACAACTAATACGTCACGATTGTATAATTGTCCCCTATACGTGAGTCAAACATTAGGCCTTTTGACCGTTAATATTTACCTTCCATAACAATCTTTTCCTTTAAAAAAAAAAATTTGATATTGTGTTTGCTGTACAAAAATAAGAGTTATTAATAATAGATCAGTAAACTCTTAAGCCTTTTAACAAAAATAAAAAAATCAGTAAACTCTTATTTTAGTTAGAGAATTAATTTTCAGACATGCAAAGTAGCAAACAATGTCAATTTTTTACCCTCGAATTAGAGACTGACAGGTTTTCCATTAAATTTTTTCCTAAATTTTTAATTAGGTTTGACACAAATTGCTTTAATAAATTATTCATCAATCTACTAAATTACATGATTTAAAAATGATAATTATCAAAAGCCACATGTTAGCTCTCTAAATATAGATATAAAAAAATCAATCCATACCAAAAGTTGATGATTTGTTTCAATTACACCCTTGATATGTTTTCAATTTCTGATGAATTTTGTTTAATGATTTTCCCCTTTTAATTATTTTCATATTGCTTATATTACCTTTTACATCAAAAAAATCATTAAGTCTCGAATGGAGATCAGTCAAAATGATTGATTTAGTAAATTTTAACAACGAATATGGTTTTAGACCCATCATTATGGATTTTATACCCATTTCATCTCCCTCAAATTTGCAGTATTTTCTTCCTTGATTATTGGTTTCCCTTTTTTTGTTATTCTTCAAATTATATGCATGTTTTGTTAAACAAGTGTCATAGATTTTTTTTTTTTTTAAACATATAAGTGTCATAGATTTTAAACAAGAATTTAAATATAGTTGACAAATAATATCATACTAAAAAATACATTAATAATTTAACATATACAACTAGACCTACCACTGCCAAATTATTTAAACAAGAAAGAAAGTACAAGAATGATAATCTATTTTTTTCTACCGATCATTTTGTAGTAGAAAGTACTACTTTTTTACCTCAATGAATAAAAAGTTGGACTATAAATAATAATCACATTACTATTTTCCTCTCACTACTATCTCTTTTGCAGGCGCCGTTTGCCTACAAAATCCTGACAAAGAGCAAAAAACAGAGTTTTAGTTTTTTTTCTCCGCTCTGAGAAGAATATATGAATTTACCATAATACCCCTCGTAACTGAAAACGGCAAATACGTTC